CGGGGCCGGCGGCGCCGCCCCTTCTCCCGGAGTGTAACGAGAGATCTGACGGCTTTCCATGGGTGAGTGGGCGGGTCAGACCGTACTTAGACTAATCGCTCCCAGCAGTGCTGAATAGCCAGACAATCTGGAGCCGTGGGCTGGGGCTTTGGAATGCCGCTGCCGACTCAATGGCTGCCTTTCATCCAGAGGGAAGAGGAAGGAGGGAGCGGGAGGGGGGAGAGATGGATTGAAAAAACGAAGCCATTTGTTATGGGTGACACAGGGCCGACACAAATGGAGGGGGCACAATGGCTATTGGGGGGAGCGAGGCGAAGGGTAACGTGACAGTCAGCGACACTGTTTTTTTTTTCTTTTTTTTTTCTCCAGCCCCAAGGCGTTTTGCGTGCATGTTTAATGTCGCGAAAATGGGATGTGAATGAGCGATTAGCGCACAGGGGAACAATAGCGTGAACTGGTGGCGGGGGGGGGGGGGGGGGGGGGTGGTCGGCCAGGATCGTCCCTTGGAGATGACCTCGCCGGGGCGCTTTGGAGCTGCGGGATCGGCGACTGGAAGTGTCCCACGGCCCGTAGCTTGCGCCCCATCGCTGCTGGTGGGGATGTCCTGATGGTCTGTTACAGACTAGATTACATTATCACATTGATGTAGTTATGCCATAACCTCAGTTAAGTGAAGTCTTGGACTTGTTAGTTTTTCATAACCTCAACTGTACTGGATCAGCGGTTAGAAGGTGTTTGGATGTGTTTTAATGACATTTGTTCAAAAAAGCCTAAAATTACATGTCTTTTAATGTGCCTGTTACACAGCACTGGTGAGCCAACAGAATTCCTGCCGTTGGGTTAACTGACAAAGCCGCTATTATGGATACGGTGGAACGGCCAGGTTCCGGATCAGCTTGCGGAAGAACGCCGGGATTTAGCAGCAGGTTAGGATAACCCGTGTTAATGCCGCAGATTAGGATGTCGCCAGTGCGTGTTCACTGCCAGTGAGCTCGTGGCAAGTTCTTGTGTAGGAAGCAACAGAACAAAATTCTGGCAAGCGTGAGCTCTGAAGGTGGATCCAGGAATATAAGTGATATATGCACTTTACAGTAGATTTTCCAGATGGAATAGCAGATGGCAAAAAAAACAATATGGGGGAAAAAGTTATTCTGAAATTAATTTTTTTTTTATACATGGCAATGGAACTGTACACCTGGATGATAATGTCTCTTGGATTAGTTTACAAATTGCAGATTACAGATAGAGTTGGGAAGAAGGGAGTCTCCTGATCATAGATATCAGCGATTGGCCAGCCTGAGGTCATGGTCAACTGACCCCAGTGACTGGTGGCATGGTATGTCAGACGAGGCACCGATCCGATACGGGTATCCTTTCTCCAAACGCCACTGCAAGTCTGATGTCTGGGTCCAATTGGTGATGTTAGGGGACCAGGTGGCTCAGGGCAGGAGTCAGAATGAAGAACAGTTCCGTTTTTATACAGCGTGGAAAGATTAAAGGTCAAATCCCTAAGTAAGGCTGAGTTAATGGAAATGGACTGAAGGTCCTATGCATCAACAGAGCACCAGAAAGTGCATGGGCCTGTGAAATGTAAACAGACCTTTATGAAAATGTGAGGAAAAACAAAGATTTCAAACACTAATTTTGGAGCAAACATACTGACATATAAAAATAACTTCTGTGCTTGGTGAAAACCTATTCATTTATATATATGTAAGAAATATGATTCAGTCGTTGGAGGCCTGGGCAGGAAAATTTGAAGCTATTATGCTAAGCTGCTAATTAGCTTCAGATTGTTTCAGCGCCTCTTGACTGCAGGCCTGCTGTCGCCACAGAGGGTTGGCTGTTTGAAAGGGACCACACTTGTAAAATGCCTTTGGATGGATGATCGTTTAAGCATGAGGTTATGCGCCTTTCAGCGGGACTATGAAACCACCAGCGGGGTCATCCCTGGCGGTGTCCCCTTCTGCTCTGATTATTGAGGGGGGGTGGCTCAGTACGTTGTGCCAGGTGATTTAAAAAGTTGCTGGTTCGTATCCCAGAGCTGGCTGAATCACCCTCCTACCCATTGGTCCTTGGGCAAAGCTCAGACCATAAGTGCTCCAGAGACTGGCTGAGTCTACTTTCTGGAATGTATGTCTCTTTCGATAATTGTCTTCCAAATATCTGCAATGTAAAATGTATCAGTCTCTGCAAAGTTAGCCAAAGTACATCCCTTAAGCAGGGGCAGAGATGCAGCATCAAAGCTCTGGTCTGCCAGCCACGTGCTGCTCCTCAGAGTCCTGTGGTTTTCGTCGCAGTTCGGATGCTAGAGAAGCGCGTGTCGCCTGAGAGGCGCAGTCCGTCATGCCGTGGTCCCTTTCAATGCTGATACTCGACGACGCTGGCACGGGATGCGATGCGCTGGGAGACGTCGGATGAGGTGAGTCGGGCCCACAGCTGCCTCCCTCGGAACTGGGGGGGGAAGCTTTCTCCCCCCCGCCTTTCTGCTTGCTTGTACTCCGCGTCTTCCCCATCTACCCTGGCGTCAGCTTCGAGGACGGAGAGGGAAAGTGAAGAGATGTGCTCTGACCGGCCTCTTCAAGTCCCCGCATTGCTCCTCTGTTTTCAATAAGCGTGGCGGTCGCCTGAGTTTTCTGTTTATTTTTCTAAAAGTAGATGTTCTCAGAGAGCTTATGAATAGAACCAGATGCTCTGGGTTAGCTGAAATATCTCATTTTGTGGGCAGAACTTTTCTCTTCCCCCCCCCCCCTCAGAAACAAATGAAGGAACCAAAGTTGTTCCATGTGGCATGCTGTGAAAGAAAAAATGCCTGCAAAAATGGAGCTGTGAAGTATATCTGGGTAATAGTCAAAGCTATTGGCTTTGTGAGAGTGCATGTGAACCGGCGCAGATAACCTTCTGGAAGTATCTCTCACCACGACTTAGGAGCTTTTGCACTGGCATACAGGAACTGCAGGAACCGACCCGTATCGTGAAGAGACACGGCACGATTCCACCTTCAGTTTTCCACTGCAATGCTGTACATCAGGATTTTTCTACGTGCAGCTTTTATTTGTTTTTGCTGTACGCTAATTTCTGCTAGCATGTCTGAGAATCACTGTTATGCAAGTGTCAAATGCTAGTGGAATTTGCATTTGCTTGTGTAAGTTACCTTTCTATTTCGTTACCTATCTATTCCGTTTAGCTGTTCTATAGTAATTTTTTAAGTAGGAGGTTGGAAATTTTTCGGGAATGCATTGCGACGTACAATACTACTAATAATGATAATATATAGAATATGCCATTTTTTTTCCTTCAGATAATCCATGCTTTGTACTTTCAACTAATCAGATGATGGTAACACATCCAGCTTGGCTTGGTCACGCTTTCAGCCCTGCTAGTAGACTGGGCCTGGTCAGTGCACTCGTAGCTGGGGTATGGCTCGCAGAATCTGCAATGGAGAACCGTCAGTTCACGGTAGGGGGCTGGTACAGCTTGGTTGCTGGTGGCAGTGGAAAAGCGCCTCTAGTGGCCTCTTCCCTCCTGCAGCTTTTGCTCCGCAGTGTGTCTCTCCAGACACTTCACCCAGAATGCTCCAAGTTGCCCGGCTCGCAGTAGCCAGGTTTGGGTGAATGCTGGCTTTTCCTTCTCCCTCGCAGAAATCTATAAGGGGTATGCGCCTTCAAAAGGAAACAGTAAGGCCATAACAATTAGGCTGATCATCTCTCTTCTTGAAGAGGTGCTCTGGGGACTCCCAGAATTCCCTGGGCCTCCCACCACTGAGGTCGTGTTAATTGGATAATGCCAGATGTGTCTCAAAGCAAATGAATACTAACAGAGGGGATCACAGCTTTTGTGCACATTATTTGCATGGCTAATCCTAGCAGAAACCATTATAAATTTTTAAATATTTATTTACATTATTACAGTCGCAAGGAGATCATGCAAATCACACTACTTTTGCATTTCTTTTTTGTTTTGTTTACACTTTGCTGAAGTTGTGGCGACGGCGCCGTGCCAGTGAGGCAGATAGTGGATGAAAAGCATACCGCGGTAAAGGGGCCAACTCTGCCGCACGAGCTGCTGGGCTGAGTGACCGGTATACCATGTGAGGTAGCACTGGAACAAGAACTATACAAAATTCTGCTGGCAGCTAACATGCGAAAAGCTGTTTAAATAAACACCACCAAGAAAATCTGCTTAGAACTAAGTGCAAAATGTGACGGGGAGTCCAGTATTCAAATCTGAATGCACATGTACAGATGCGCACACAAAGAGCCAGGGGCTGATTCAGAACCTGTGACCTCTGGGTCACCCCACTCCTACCTGTCGCCCCCCCCCCCCCGCAACCTGACAGTGACCCCCCCCCCCCCCCCGCACAGCCTGACAGGGACCTTCCTTTCCGATGCTGGTCCCTTTTATCCCCCCAGCAACCTGACAGTGACGGGACCCGAGTCCCTTTTTTGGGGTGTTAAACGGCCTGGCGCCACTTTGCATCTGAACACAGCTTTGGCTCACCAGCCAAAATGTGTAGGGGGTGGGGGTGGACTATGCGCATTACCTGGCAGAGGGGGGGGGGCTGTGTTCAGTGAAAGGGTGCTCTCCAGATGTCAGGCCTGCGGTGGGGCAGCACGATGGGGGCACTCTGACCTGCCAGGTACCCTGACCCTCAGTGAGACAAAAGATGGCACTTATACGTGTGTGTGTGTGTGTGTGTGTGTGTGTGTGTGTGTTTGGAATATTGTAATAAAAACCTGTTATTTTGATTTTGTTGGGCCCATTTTTCACGTCCCCACAAAGGTCTGTGAATGCAATTAAAAAAACTAAAAATTAAAAAATTCTCGTATTTTGTTTGGTTACTTATGGTTAGGGTTAGGGCTGGGTGTAGGGGTTAAGGTCGTCATGTTGGGTTTAGAGTTTTTCCCATAGAAATTAATGGAGAGTCCCCACAAAGATTTAATTACAAACCTTTGTGTGTGTGTGTGTGTGTGTGTGTGTGTGTGTGTGTGTGTGTGTGTAAGAGTTTTAATTTTGCATACATGTTTTTAAGAAATTGTACTGACATAGACGGTAAATCCCAGCAGAGTTCCAGGCTGGTTGAAGAAGGGTTAGACTTGATTCCCTCGCGAATGCAGCAAAAAATGCACACCCCCAGAAAACTGCATTGCAGCCGGCATACCGTCCCGATAGAATATGATAAGCTCAGTTAAAATCGGGTCACTGACAATCACTTTCTGTAGGGTCCCTAACTCTCCAGTTTAACAATGCGTGGGAGGACCGCCATTAGCATGACAATGTGTGGGTAATCCCTCTCTGAATCTGTGATCTCAGATACGTTAGGGGCGCTATTGTAAGCAGCCGGGAGCCAAACAAACCGGCCGCAGTCTGGCCCCCTATTCATGGTCCCTTTGCGCTTTCCCCATCCAGGGAGAAAGACCCAATATGTGACAGTGTGCAATATTTTAAAGGATTTGCTAAATAAAAAAAAATAAATGAAATACCGTGACCCTTACAAGGATAAGTGGGTCAATGAGAATTATCATTGTTGAATAAATGACTCCATTGTTTATCTTTAAATGTATATCAGGCCATATCACAAACGAATCCTCTGCTTTTCAGCCTATTTGACTGGATGCCAGTGTGGCTGCCTCAATAGGAACCTGAATTTGCTGAGGCATATCTGTACTTGTATTAAGTTGTATGAAACGTTTCACTTTTACAAGAGAACTAGACGTAATAAGCCACTCTTTTGGTCGTTATATAGAAGGTACCACAACGAGACTCGATCGATGGCGATCCAAATAGCTGCTAAATGAAATGAAAGGAAAAATGAGCACGCAGGAGGGTGCTAAAGAGTGTAAAAGTTTACCATTCAGGGGTGTCGAAGACGCCGCTGTCCCCTGCCTTGGCTGAGCTTTTGTTTTGGCTCTGCGTGCCAGAACAATTAGTTATGTTAATTATGACGCCCGTCGATAAATACACCAAATAGATTAGCAGCAGATTGGCTGAGATCCATGAAGAGGGTGTGGCCTGGTGAGTGACATCAGCCTGGCAGCCGCCCTAGGAGAGAGAAGAGTGTGTGTGTGTGTGTGTGTGTGTGTGAGAGAGAGAGAGTAAGAGAGAGAGAGAGAGAGAGGGTTCCTGGACAGAGAGAGAGAGGGAGGGGGAGAGAGAGAGAGAGATCTTTTTCCATATGGGATCCATCTGTGTTTCTCTGGCTTCGATCAAGCCGCTTTGGCCTCGCTGGGGCTCACATATGTGGGAACGCAAACACATGCGTGACACATGAAGACGCAGAGAGAAGCAAGGGAAAGTGGCTAGAGAGAGACGGCGTTGCAGTTTTCGGACAAGAGAGAGATTGAACCGGGAGGAGGTAAGCGGCAAACGATTTCTTGTCCTTACTGGGGGGGGGGATCCTTTTGTTTTATGTGTCCGTTTTGTGCTTCAGACAATTTCCACGTCTCTTTCTGTGTGCGTTCTGTTGTCATGTAATTAATCTTATCATGAACAGTCAAAGGTGAAACATGAACGGAGTAGTATCGTAGTTTGAGACTTATTTTAAATGCCTGCTCTGTGTGAGTGTGTGGATTATGTTTATATTACATTGTGGGGACCAGATGTCTCCCACGATGTAATAAAAACCTGTTACTTTGATATTGTGGGGACCATTTTTCAGGTCCCCACAAAGGTCTGTGAATGCAATCAGAAAGTAAAAATGCCAGAAGTCTCATATTTTGTTGGGTTACTTATGGTTAAGGTTAGGGCTGGGTAGGGGTTAAGGTCGTCATGTTGGGATTAGAGTTTTCCCCATAGAAATTAATGGAGAGTCCCCACAAAGATATAATTACAAACACCTGTGTGTGTGTGTGTGTGTGTGTTTATCTGTGTCAAAGTGACCATTTGTGCTCCAGGCTGCACTGTCTCTGCCCACAAAAACGCTTTGATTTTTATAAGCAGAGTATTACTTAAGAGAACTATTCTGCAGTGTCATTATTGCCTTCAAAACGCACCCAATTGTTATGTTAAGTATCCAAAATGAAATATAAACATATATGTATTACCTATCTTTTTAATTGAAAATACTGAGCATACTTGTATATTGAGTAATGGGACTTGGGAGGTGATTGTACTAGAATAAAAAGGCATTGATAGGAGCCCCTCTGTTAACAGGCATCTGAATGTGTAATTTTTCTGTACGGAGTGGTCCCTGTGAGGCTCTGGTCACACCAAGCTCTCCCGCATTAGCGCTGCTGGACTTTCCGAAACACAAGCGAGCTCCGCCAGGCGATTAAAATACGCAGTTCTCGTTACCAAGGAGCACTACATCCCTGGCCAAGCCACTCGATACCTGCGAGGCCTCGGTTGTAAAATATCAACGTATCTTTACTGCTCTGTCATTAAGCTTGTACTTGTCCGCCTGATGAATTCATATTCCTCGAGCGAACAGAGAAATACTCCTTTAATCCAGACACACACAAGTTATGACAGTGCTAGTTAGCTGCTACTTATGCAGTGTGTGTGAATATTGTTTAACCGTCTGATTTTCAGGTAGGCAAATTAATCTCGGCATGTGACGCTAAAATCGAGGCGCTTGTATTTGTCAAGCTATTGGTGATCATCGGCGTTTGTCGTTTGGTGCGGGCAGCGGCCACGCTCAGACACGTGGAGCTGGAGCTGGGCTGCCGGTTTGCCGCCACGTTCGTTCAGAGATCGGTCCACGACAAAGTCGGGGCTTCTGGGTCGCGGCATCTCTTCAGGAGCAACCCCAGCCCTGAGTTTTGTTGTGGCTCTCCGTGGGGGGGTGGAGGTCTCGGTCTAACTTGCACTGACGTGACCTGGAGGGGCTCTGAACTGACGATGCCGGGACAGCATGCTGCAGGATACGCGGCTGTGGAGTCTCAAGCGGGCAGCGGGCTGCGGCGACGGGAGGCTGGAGGTCGTCACTCTGACAGCGCGTGTGTTTTGTGTCCTGGTGGAGGAGGGGGTTTGAGGGGGGGGGGGCGGCGTGTTTATGGTTCCAGTCTCTGTCATCTCTTCTGTCTTTGTCATTTCCTAGTTAGGCCTTAGCATGCATGTAATTCATCAAGCTTTGCTGCGTCACACCGGTTTCAAACGCTCTGTCCATTTCTCCTCTTTTTCAGTTTTATTAACACGCTCGTCCACCGCTGCGGGACAAACCGTCGTCAGACTTTCTCTGCCCTGGACCTTTTCAGGAGAGCCTTTGACACTCTACTCCCCATCTCCCGAGGCCCTGCTAGTGCATGTCATGTGACCTCTGGCGTATCGGTCGGGCCATGTTCGGCGAATGGATCTGGGGGGCACATTTATCACCCACTTGAAAAGGTTAAACTGGACACAGTAGATTAGTTACAGTGGCTGGAGATGCAGAATCGGGTTCAGGGGCTTCCATTGTCTTGTTACAACGGCTCTCGAGAAAGAGAAAAATTTGCTGCTAAATAACCATTTTATTGCATGGGGGAGAGTGGTATTGAATGGGGTCTATTGTTGAAATCACTGCATTATGATGCTGTAAAGGGCTCCTGTCTGATTGGGGCAGAAAGAAAGGCAGAGGTCTATCTGGGGTCCTGAGATGGGTCCTCAGGAGAAGCCTATGTGACCCAAGCCTCCTCTCTGCTTCACTGGCCTGTCAGTGACTTCAATTGTCCCACGGAGGATATGAGGCACAAACCTGGAACAATACACCCCAGGCCAGACCTCCAGAGCCCCCGGTTCAGAGGCCGCGCAGCGATTGATCGCCGCTGAGGTCTGGTTGTTCACGTCTATGGTGAAGCTCTAGGGTTCTTCTGTTTTTTGGTGCGCCCCCCCCCCCGCCACCCACCCATTTGCTCTTCACAGGGTTGTAGGGCAGTGTGCATTTATGGGTGGGGGGCTTAGTGAACAAGGTACATTTTGTTCACTTGACTCCCTGCAGCCAGGAGGGTGGGAGGGGAGATCAGGATTTGCACATAGAAGGATGCCAGTCATTCTGTTGCCTTGATAATCCATCAGTCTCCATTCTGTCTCTCACCCCCCAGGTCAGACCCAGCCAAGCGTCTCCTTCCCTTAGCCAGGGGTACATTTAACTAGTTTTGTTTCACATGCTCCTCAAGAAAATGGTGGAAGTTTTTGGGGGGGGGGGGTAGTGATAGCTGGTGGTATTAACTGGTCTGAATGGACCTTTAAATGGTATTGAATCGTGCTGGTTCTCTGACTGCCACTTTGACTGAGTGCATCATGAAGTGACATGCAGTGTGCAGCCCCCACCACACACAAAGACACACACTGGCCTTTTGTTCTTAACCTCCGATGTCCTCCTTTTGTCTCTGTCGTCTTCCCCTGCCCCCCAATACCCCCCCGACACCGCCCGACCCGCC